CTTGCATCCTCAAAAAGTTTAAATTATACAAAATGCTAATTTACTTATAAACTTTTCGCAGTTTTTTGAAGAAGTAAGACCTTAATTAATCTCAAGATCGTCACACATCTTACCTCTTTTTCCCTTACAGATTTAAACTACGTATATTAACTTGCAATTAATGCAGCGATGAAACGTCTGCTGATACACATAGAGATAACATATCAATGATTATTCTCTTCTAATTCAAAAGTATAGGCCATGGGTGCGACAATTCAATAAATTAAATAATGATATGTTAAATCGTATTTGATGTTCCTCTGTATATGATATATCATTTCTAATTCATAGAGATAAAGAATAGAGATAAAGAAAGATTTGCTCAAAATTAAGACCAATTAACGCGCGCGCGCGCGCGCGCGTATAGTATCAAGATTTTTCTTGTTAAATTCTTTTAGCATTATTCTTTTTTTCTTCATCAAAGAGAAGGATAAGATTAATGCAAAAGCTTTGTCGTGTATGGCAGATAAACCATGAAATGATGATGAAATTTTATATTAGTTAATACTTTTTGTGTATCTAAATAATTATTGTCGACTTTAACATGTTTTTTCTCTATCCTTAATTAAAACTAATCTCAATAAAGTAACAAATTTCTGAATAATAATTGAAATAAAATATTTTTTAATAAAAAAATTTTCGAATTAACTTAATAATTACCATAATTTAAGTCGCTGAAAATGATTGCGATTGCATTATTAGCACGAGTGCTGCAACAAATTACTAATTCCAACGGAAGGGATTAAGTCGTGGTAACGAATTTACTTTCGTGAATAATATTCACGGATCCGCCGAGTTCAGAGGGAGACAGCATCATTGAACGCGCGTACGTCGAGACAGTGAAATAGTGAGCTGCATGAGAGTCCATTTCTTATCGAGAGAAAAGTACGCGACACACACCACGATTACTTGTGTAATAAGTCTTTCGTCTACTAACTCCACCCCAGTTCGTATCCAATTCTCCGATTCGGCCTATCGTCGGCCGAGGCTTTATCGTATGAATTGCAGATGCAATCAATGTGACTGTGTTAATCGAAGCGAATTGTAAGAAGGAGATCTCTCTATGAGGTACGTGTCATGCGCTTATTGTACTTGCTTGGTCATGCGACACGTGTTTCCAAGAAACATGCAAAATAACGTCCAATATGATACCAGTCGCACGCGGTTATTACTTGTACTTGACAAACTTGACGTGTCGTGATCGAGCTTGACTGAGATTACTTTGTCAAAAAAATATAGCGAAATTCGTATAGTCGTTTGTAATTATCAGGCCAAATTTAAACTCTGTGCCGAAAGCAACAGGGATTTTGCAAAGGATGAATAGATTCAAGAAGAACTGTTGGACTTTTAAAAAATTGAAAAAATTATTATCTAATATGAAAAATTTTAATTATAAAAGATGAAAAGTATAAAAATCTCTCGATTGTTTCAATTGTTTTGATAATTAATTTCGAGAATGCGGAATTTGACTTTTGTGTTCAACAGAATAAGTTTTCATCAATTTCGCTTAATCCATCTATTTTTTGCAAGAGGTAGCGAAAGTTAATAAAATTTCATAAAAAGACACGTGCGTTATATCAAAAATTGCCATGCGTATTGCCATGCGTTATTCGTATATTCGTATGCCGTCATCCACAACGATGTTTCCACATCGAATATGTTAAAAGAAGAAAAAAAGGAAAGCGAATTATTCGTTGGCGGCTGCTATTGTGAACAGACAATAAGCAATGTGAAAAAGTGCAAAACCTTCCCTGCATTCGATATGAAGGCTCGTTGTCGGCATCATTGATGTCTCGTTATAGGAAATATGGCAAACGAGTTGGCGAATATCGATCGATAATAATTATATTGTACAAATAACGAAATCGAGGGATTCGCGTTTGAATTACGATTGTAACAACAAATTTCTCTCTCCGTTAGGAAGGTATTGGACGACGCTTGTCTATGTATTATTGTACGCTATAGTTTCGGCAGCACAATAAAGGAGTACGCAAAATTGAGAAAATTTTGTGATACAAAACTAATTGAATGAAACTTGATATAGACGTAGTATGAGTTAAAAGAAGTGAAGAACTTTAACGGAAATCGAATGACTGAATGAGTGGATGCTGGTCAAAAACCAGAAGATGGATTTGGTGATTCGTGTGACGGCAGTGTCCGTTTGCCATTTCATACAATCTCACTTTGGCAATAAAATAACGTTTTTCGTGAACCGCTTCAGCCACTAATTTAGCCATTTGATTTTGATTAGATTTTTTTCATATATTTTATCTCATATCGTGTCTATGTCAAATTTCATGACGATTAGTTTTGTATAACAAGATTTTCCCAATTTTGTATACTCCTTTGTTGTAAAGTCACACAGTCTGTAAGGTACCTATTTAACGTCATATCGTTATACCGTAGATATCTAACAAGCTGGTGTATGGGTCCGATTATCATGCCTGTGTAATAATCAAGACAAAAGAAAAGAAGAAGTGTAACGAGTCATCTTAGAGCGTATCCTTTATTTTTAAGTATCGTTATATCGTTATGTGCGGTTAAAAATCGCCAGGGAAGATAAAATATTCATATATATAGATACCGATTGAACGACACACACGCACACGCGCCACACACACACACACACACACACACACACACACACACACACACACACACACACACACACACACACACACACACACACACACACACACACACACACGTATGTATGTATATGTACATATATAACTTCCTTTCTCGAATGAAGAGGTTAAATGAATTAACGAAAAAAGAGAGAGAAGAACGACGCACTCGTTTATATATTTTTATGTGTTTGATAAATGATTAACGCCGGCCTCGAAAATCGCCAGATTTTGCTGCAAGATTGTATTTGAATTGTTAACGCTTGTTGACGCGAGATACGTGGTTCACTATTGCAAAATTGCAAATGACTTCTATAAAGTCGATGGAAAGATTGCAGAATAAATATCAATCGTTACAATATATATCATTGATTTGGATCGAATTAATGATAAACGAAAATATCCACGATGAGAGAGTATTATAGTAATGAATTCATTGTAAACTATTTAATTAATGTTTATTCCAATGTATATGTGTCTAACATATTTATGTATACATACATGAGAAAATATGCTGTATCGAATAAATGAGAGATAAATAATGATCTCTGATTTTCTTTTCTTCCTACAACTCATACAGCGCAAACTTTGCAGTTATATTGCAGTAATATTACAATATTATAACATTTCAGCAGTGTTGCTGTAATTTCAGTAATATAATTGCAAAGTTGTGCTGTATGAGAATTAATGATTCTTGACATAATTGCTCGTCAAATATTCTCTTAAAATCCGTCAAGTATTCTCGAACCGTTGATGATACTAGATGATATATGTATTGTATATAACACAGAAACTTTTCTTCCGATCCTATTCTTTTCTTCTTTATGTCTCTTAAAATAAATTTTTGTGTGCAATTTTAAAAATTTGACATAAATCTTTATATAATTTTTAAGGAATTGTGTAACTATATGTTGCCACTTTTTTAATCAGAAACTTCGATTACGGATTCTAAATTTGCATTCGATGTATACGGAAAGTGATACGTATACATTTTTCTTTATCTTACTCTACATTTACGTTTATTACTTTTAATTTTTTATTATATTATTTATATAAAAATATTGTGCAAAATACTTTTCTTATAGAAAAATATAATTATGCAATTTTTCCATAAGAAGTATTCGACCCATGATGGTAACTGCTTGGATCCAATATATAAAATATATATTGGATCCAAGCAGTTACCATCATGGGTCGAAAATAGATTACAGTCGGTAACTCCTCCTATGGTAAAAGGATGGTTGGCACATTCCATTAAGATTCACCTTGTGTGTATAATATTACATTATAGACTAATTGGCTAAAATTTTAACAGTCATACGTGATCACGCGATTCTTGTACGATTGTTGGATTTTAAGAGGATGCTGCATGCTTATCTGTTTTACCAACTGAGCATATACTTCGTATTTCTCTAATTTCTTTGCTTTCCTCCTTTGAATAAAAAATCCTTTTTAGGATGAGAGAAAATATCAAAATAAATATGAATAGCTATGAAACAATATGAAAAAACAAGAAAATTTCTACATTACAGTTTCCTGTTAGCCTAAGCATTATTCACTCGATATAAATAATACCAAGTGTGTATTCAAATAGAAACTATCCATCCATATTTATTTAATATATAAGAATATTTTAAGATCTCCAAAAACATGATTAAAAAGCTTATAAGAAAAATCAGAGAAAAGCCTGAGAGTGGTCATGGACACGTTTTAGCTGTACCCTTATTCGCGTAGGTGCAGATAATGCGCACGATTTTGTGATTCTCTTCTTCTCTTTCTCTTGCTAGATGCAAAAGTGATAAAGATGGACAGTCGTGTCCGTGCACATTACCTACGCGAATAACGATACAGCTAAACGCGTCCATGACCACTCTCAGGCTTCTCTCTGGAGAAACGAACAGAGAAGTACCGTTTGAGTGCTGGTACACTATCTTTATGCGAAGTTTAGGAGATTAGTATGCCATGTATGCCATGTATGCCATGTATGTATGTATGTATGTATATATGTATGTATAAATGTACACTACGCACAATGATCGCATGGTCCCGTCGGAGCTCTAACTTATCGGCTTGATTTACTCAGGCAGGGTCGATAACGTCGATAATGCTGAACACGCGCGTGCGCGCGCGCGCGCGCTTCGGAAAGGTGCACATCGAAAGGAACACAGGTAGTAATAAAGAATAATAAGAATAATAATTAATCCTCTATTTGTTTTACCTTTCTTTCTTTTTTAATTTAGAAATGGATGAATTATATCTCCGTCGTATTTATATTTATCTGTATAAATGTATTATAATATATTATAATATATGCGTTTTGAATTATACATTTATTCAAATAGATATAAACGACAATGGACTGTAATAAATAGTTAAATAATGTATCAGGAAATGGAAATTTGAGCAATTCGTTGGAAAAGCGATAACAGTAACAAGTAATTGCACAAGAATACTAGATCGATTATTCGGATACATATAATTTTATTTCCAATAAAAGAATATCTTTAAGAATATCTTTTGTTATTAATTTTAATAAATTGCCTAATTATCTTAATTTCAATTTCAATCTCTTTCAGCATTATCGATGTTATCGACTCTGCCTGAGTAAATCCCTGCCCGAGCTAAGTTAGAGCTCTCTGGCGGGATTCGCTCACGCGATCATGTCGCGCAGTGTCATACATATGATATGTTTGTGTATGTTAGATATGCATATATGTGAATGCTCTCGTAGGAGTAGTTCGTTGGTTCAGCCAGCATCCTCTTAAGTATCTCGTTTAGTATCTCGTTGGTAATAAGAGTTGGCGAAGAGAAAAGAGTTTTTACGTAAATCTCTTTACAGGATCGCAATCGGCGCGATCGGTAAAGAAGTCGTACACGCGCGACTCGTCGAGCCGCAACTTCAAGGGGCACGGGATCGCAATCATGAGAATCGCCCAAAATCGCGGGAAACGCGTCCTGCTTCAGGAGGTACGCGAGGTTCGTTCACAATTCATTATTATCACAATAATTAGGATAGTCGACAGGGCGGAAATCAGGATTGTGTGAAAGTCTTGGCAGTGCGGAAGTCGACGTTTGTCCTCCGAACGAGGTAGACCTGGCCTAACGCGAGAGAGGTAACAACCCTCGAAACACGAGGCCTCCGCCACTGTGGTGCTAGCCGATACCAAGAATTATTTTCGACGCGTGAGCCTTTGCCGCTGAAATTCTGTGGTCCTCGCATGCAGCCGTCGTTAAAGGAGCCGATGCACTTTCATGATTCGTAACACTCGGAGCATAAAAGTGTGAAAATGCTCTATTGAACGCAGAGTCATGAATGCTATTAGCACAGAGGTCTGCGAGGCGTCCACGCTGGATCGCGCATCCCAATCGGAGGCCGACAATAATACCAGGGCCTCGACCAGCGAGGATGCGAGCAATGACCGGGAAGGTTTGCAGGGCGATTGTAATGAATTTCCGCCTGGCAAAAGCCGTTATGGTAGAATTATAAAACGCAGATCCACTAGCAATGCTGTAGATTTTTCACAGGTATACAATGTGTATTCTTGATATTTCTGTATGCGACAAAGCGACCATGCAACATCGCCTATGTCGACTATATATACTTCTTGAGTCACTCAAATGTTCACATATTATTTTTTCGTAAAACTTGATAAATATTTAAATGTATATTTAAATATAATTTTTATATAATTCTTAATACTTAGGTATTAAGAATTTTTTTCAAAAGACATAAATTACAATCAATGTATGAATTCTGTCATTTTTTTTTATAATTCTAAAACTTCGTTGATATTTATGTAACATAATGTTTGTTGTCTTTATGATTTTGCAGAATTTGAGGCCAAAGACACGTAGACAATTATTAAATTCCATTGATAATACAGATGAAAGTACAGATGAAATTCACGTAGCTAGTAATATCAATGAAGCCAGCGATTCTTCTATCATGTTGAATGGTATCGAGGAGATTCCATCTCCAAAAGCGATTAGTCCTACAGTCGAATGTTCTTGGATAGTAGGGCAATTAGCGTGGGCTAGAGTTGGTAATTTTCCATTCTGGCCCTGTATGGTAACTGTTGATCCAACTTCAAGGATATATTATAAATTGAGAGGTAAATTTCTAAAATTTGCATATATACATATTTTATGTATTTAAATTATCTAAATTTTGATTATATTGTTTTTTTTCTACTTAAAAAAAAGCATAATTGCAAAAAGAATCTTAACATGTTTTTTTTTTAATGTATAATTAAAAAAAATTGGAATTGGAAAAAGTTGGAATTAAAATAAGAAAAGTTGTTTCAGAGAATATAAAAAAAAACCGAAAATCTGAAATTATATATTTTTATTAAATATGTCGCGCGTTGAGAGAGAGAGAGAACGAGCGCTATTATATACAGATATATGTACAAACATTATTTTAAAAATTTGATGGATTTAAAATGTTGAAAAATGTTTTGTCTATTTTTTGGCACAGTTGCACATAAGACATTTATCATGATGGTACACGTTCATTACTTTGGAGACAAAGGGCGTCACAGTTGGGCTTCGTCAAATTGTATGATGCAATTCACAAGTCTTGCCGACTTTTTGAATTTAGCTGATTCGCTGACAACGGAAATAAAGAAAAAAATCCCAAATACGCTGCCGCCTTTCTTATAAAGTCGGGAATAAAGTCAAAATGGGACAATGCCGTTGAAGAAGCTGCAAAGGCACAGCCATTGACCACTGAAGAAAGAATTGCGATCTTTACAAAAAAACCTCAAGTCTCAAGGCGTAAAGATACAAAATCATCTTTTGTTGTCGATGAAAAAAATAAAAAAGGAAACATTCGATTGATCAGGATGAACCAGATGTCAAACGCGCTAAACAAGATAATGTAATATACAAAACTTTTTATGTTCGACACACTAGAGCATTCGCTACATATATAAAATATGTTATCTTTTTTCTTTTGCAGGTAAGTAATACGGAAAAGCCAGAAATATTGAAGTCACGTAAATCAGAATTATCCAAGTTGAAAAATTCGCGGATTGTGAACGGTAAAATTGATTCAAAACTGAATTCGGAATCTTTGCCTTCGTCTCCTTCAAGCCACAAAAGTTTTTCCGAAAATACAAATACTAAAGCCTATAAAAATGAGGAGGATGAAGAGAGTATATTCAAACTGTATTACGAGGATAACAAAAATTTATTAGAGAATGAATATCCAGATATGCCAAAAGGCGATATTAAAAGATACTTGCGAAAAACTTGGGACAATATGGACGCAGAGTATCGGAAAAAACTCGGATTACATATGACAAGCGAAGGTTCACATTCGCACTCGAAAGAAAGCTCTCCGGATGAAGACGAGGTGTCGATAGAGATTGATACAACTATGAAGGAAAATAAAAAGACAAAAAGTAAGATCGACAAAGAAGAAAATACTGTTTCAGAAACAAAACGAAGTAGATCCTACAATCTCTTTAAAGGTATGAAGCAAGAAAAAGTTTGTCAAATTTGCGAGAAGACTGGCAAGCTAACGAGATGTAAAGGACCTTGTTATTCTTATTTTCATCTATCATGCGTGAAACCTGGTGAATCTAGTCCAGAGCATTCTGTCGATGAGAATACCTTGGATGATAGATTACTTAATGATTTAAACATAATTAAGAGAAGTATTAATGGCGAGAATGAAAACAATGGTAATTGCAATGATAATTATAAATATATAAAATATATTAGGTT